TAAATACACCTCTTTCATAATTGATCGTACATAATTCCTTCTACGTATAAACCCTTGTATTGTGATAATTTTGTTGTGAGATAAGTAATTTATACTTAGTTTTATTTATTAGTTTTAGTATTATTTTATCCCGTTGTCTTTGTAAATTGTAGAAGGTTTATACGGATAACACTATATAATTGAAAAAAAAAAGATCAGTGTCTATCTAAAATATAATTATTACCACTAGTTGAAAATTTACAAATACTATACTTATTAGATACCAGATAGATAATAAATAAGTAAATTAGTTTTTGCTAAATATCAAGTTTCAATATCTCATATTGGATATCTAATTCTGTAAGATATCTTACAGATAAACCTATCAGTAAAATATTCTATAAATATTTTACAGATATCAGAATTGATATGAGATATCGAAATCCAATATTCAGCAAAACCAACTCACTTACTTGTTACTTATCTAATACTCGATAAATGTAGTATTTATAAATTTTTGACTAGTATGCAAATATATATATTATAAAAACTATACTTTATATAAATATGAAATAAACAATAACAATTTGATATTATATCTCATTCTTTATTAAAATTCAAATCAATTCACAAATCAAATTCAGATCGAATCAGATCAGATTATTTACAGATTCAGATCCAAATCAAATTCAAAAAAAAAAAATCTGATATGAATTCAGATCAATTAAAAAAAGATTCAGATTGATCTATTGATTTGAAAAATCTGAATTTAAAAATAGATTGAATTCTGTATTTTAGAAATACTTGTAATTAAAATAATCATCAATTATTGTTACATTTAAAACTTTTTATTTAATAAGTAAATATTAAAAATAGTACTAAGTAACTATAAAAAAAGAGAAAATTACATATTATGTAAAAAGGACAGACTTATATAATTAAAATTAAGAGAATTTGAACAGTTAAAATTAAATAGATAAAAGTTTTAAATGTCAATTATTCACTTGATTTTGATGATATAAGTTTGTTTTTTTATATAATATGTAACTTATTCTTGTATTTGTGATTACTTAGCACATTTTTGATATACATACACTTATAAAATAAAAAATTTTATATATGTTAACAATTGATAATTTTATATATTACTAATTCAAAATTCAAAATTATATAAAAATATTCAGATCCATAAAAAATATTCAAATTTACAAAAATATTTGAATATTTTTAAGTATTTAGATTGAATTTAGATTGATCCAAATATATTAAAAATCAAATTCAGATTTTAAAAAGTTGGATCTATATATAATGAATTCAGATCAAATTTTAGGAGAATAAATATCAAATAAATCTAAATATTGGTAAAAATCTGATCTAATCTAACTTTGCAGAATCCTATCTTCTATTGATATTCAAGTGCATTATAACAGTTAACAATTCAACACTACATATCTCATTAATTTAATTACAATCTATTTTGTTGGAATAATATTTGTTGATATTATTTTCGTATTTAATAAATAGTTGTTACTATTTATTTTCTTGTTTATAAATTAATGAATCAGTGGATTCGTTACACTTGGTAGCAGTGGATGTTAAACCTTTACCCAATCCAACCCTTCTGTCATCTTGCTGTTGTTTTATAACTCAACCCAACCCAAATTTTTGTTATTCAGAACCAGCTGATTAAAACTCCAACCTTCAATATATTAATTTTGCCATTCCATTGCATGATAATATTTTTTTTTGTGCACAGTAATTTGCAAAACAATATATTGCTAGCATATGTTTAGTTTCTTTAACTTTGGTGGTAATAATAATAACCCAGAAGACAACCAACCTACCCTAGTCTAAGTTTACCTTGTTTTAAAATGATGATAAAATTCAAGTTTGGCATCTACACTAGTTGAAATTTATAAATAGTACACCTATAAGGTATCCGATAGGTGTACTATTTATAAATTTCGACCAGTGTTACAAAAAGAAAAGTATGATATTAACTGCCTTGCTTCAACTGTAAAACATGGTTGAGGCGAAGTTATGATGTGAGGTGTTTTTCATGATATGGTTTAGGTCCTTTGACAAGAATTGATGGTTAAATTTATAGTGAAAGGTATATAGAGAAGATTCTTGGCTATCATTAATATTATTTTTGAAGAAATTTGGAGAAGAAAATGGTGATTATTTTTTCAACAAGACAAGCACCAATTCATACTAGTATAAAAACTCAATAACTTCATTACCATGGCCAGGACAAAGTCCCGACCTTAATCCCATTGAACATCTGTGGGATGAACTTGAACATTGTATTCGTGCAAAAAAAGATCATCCAAAAAATTTGAGAGAATTGGAGATGTTTCTTCAAGAATGCTGGTCACAAATTCAATGCGAAATTTATCAAAAACTTGTTAACAGCATGGAAAATTGAATAAAAGCAGTGATTAAGGCCCGAAGGTATCCACTAAGTATTGACAAATATTTTATTATAAAATTATTTTATTAAAAAATTTTTTTTTCCAAAAACATTAGTTTTTTTACTGAAATCTTTAATGATATTTTAGTTCTTTATTTTGCAAGATTTTTGAGCAAATTTTTTTTGTTATATTACTACATAATAAAGGGTTTAATAAAAATAATTTTTTGCAATGCAAATATGAAAAAAAGTTTTTAATGAATTTATTAATATTAATTTATTTATAAAAAAATCAATTAAAAATATTATATATTAAAACGTCCCAAAAATTTATTAAAATAATTTTATTTAATATTGAAAAATATACTAATTATTGCTAAATTATCATATATTTTATAGACTAATAAAGCACTAATTAGCAAAAAAATTATAGTTTTTTTTTTTTGATTTATCAGGTGGTCCTAAACTTTTGGCCAGGGAGTGTTTATTATGAATCGGCTGCTTCGCATATATATTTTAAATAAAATATGGGGATACATTTTGACCATAGCTTATTCTATTTTATTTATAAAAGCATAATCTTTGTCATTAAAATGGTAATGAATGAACGATTGCTCTATAAGTTAAAGCCAGGTCTTCGGAAATATAATTTATAAGTTTATCATCATATATCGTCATGTATGTATGAAGAGAATTTTCAAAATTATCAGATACAAAAGTGTTCATATTAGGAAGTGGATAATTAGAGCAGGTAACATATGGGGAGGGGGAGTTTCGATCATCAAGAGGTGAAGAAAAATTTTGATTCATTTTTGGAAATGGAGAATTAAAGGAGACATTATTACCAATTGTACTAGATACTTGCTTGTTTTGAATGATATAAAGAGAAGAAACCTTTTCTTTAAAAAGTTCCTTAACCCTTTTAGCTAACTGTTTGTAATATTTTTTAACATATTGTGGTCCTTGTTTCCAAGAAACGCTAGCACATAAAGATATATCTTTAAGTTCAAGATTATAATTTGTAACTACATTATTAAATTCTATCATAAACGCGTTCATCGTTTGGTTAATGCTTTTAATTCCATTTTTAATTTGTAATTCTATGATTTCATCTGCTTTAGTAGATGTAGGAAAAGGAACTTGTATGTTTAAAGCATTTTGGTAATAATTTATATTTGATCTTGGGTTGTACATTGTATTCATAATGATGTTAATGTATTAGTATTAATAATATTAGTGCAGAAGAAAAAAACATGTATACAAACAAGAAAAGAAATACGAAGAAAAAAATATGTACAAACAACAAGAAAAAATGCACACAAATTAGAAGAACAACAAAAAAAAATGTGGTGTATATACAAATAAGGATAGGATAAAAACAATGTTTGTTTTGTTCAGCCTTAAAGTTAAATTCAAAGATATTCACTTCATGGTTTTACTAATCGTTATACCGAAATAAAGAATAAACAAAAAAAAATAACTTCAAATGGTAAACAACTTTATTTGACAGCATGCACAAAACTTCAAATGGTAAAACAACTTTATTTGGCAGCATGCAAAAATTCATTATTTTTACATGCAGTGTGGACAAAAGTCTTTGGACGTTTGATAGCCGGAATTGATATCTTAAGGAAACATTTACCAGAGATCACAAGGATGCTGAATAATGATTGGGATTTCAATAAGACAATGATCCGAAGCATACAGCCAAAGAATTTCTTACTGAAGTAATTGATTGGCCATCCAATAGTCCGACCTTAACCCTATTGAAAATTTGTGGAGTATTGTTAAAGGGAGTGGCAACCAAAAAAATTTGGGGGGATTAGAACAATTTAGGGTAGAAGAATGGAGTAATATTCCAAATACTATTTTGAATAATTTAATAGGTTCCATGAAAGAACGGTGTAAACTTATAATAAAAAAAAAAATTGAGTGTATTTTTTTATTAAATAAATCTACTGCTTTTAATTATAATGTATCAAATAATTAATTTACAATAACCTAACAAATTTGTCCAAAGACTTTTGTTCCACATATTATAAAAATATTAAATATATTAAATAAAACTTTAGTATTTGTTTAACGAACCTTTATTATGGAAAAAAAATTTTATCTCTGTATAAAAAATAAAGTTGTCACCTTACAATATAAAGTTTAAAATTAGCGCAAAGTATTTCAACTTTTATTCGTGCCTTAGAAAAAGTGAAAAGAAAAACTTTCACAAAGTAAACTATTGCATCGAATGTTACTTTTAATATTAGTAATTAATTCATTTCCTTTGTGCTTAATGACACTTGATAATTTTATAACCATTCCACATAAGATAAATAATTTATGAATAAAATTTGTTAGTGATATATATATATTAATATAATAAAATAATAAAATATTCTCACGGGGATAAATCATTACTTTTTTGTACTTGTTGATAGCATGACAATTAAGAATTTTATAACCATTTTAATATAAATAAAATATTGAATCATCTAGCATTAATAACCGAGTTTCTCACTCGTGTAGAATAAATAATTTTATAAACATTATAAAAAAGTTTATATTATTAATTTCCTATAACAGAAGAAACTTATCTGAATATATTGATTTTTTTTTAAAAAAGTATGATAATAAAATCAACGTTTGTTTAATTACTATGAATTTGTAAAAACTTTGTTGATCGCCCCATGACCCATCTAAAATCGTTACCTTCAAACTTGTTCCTCTCTTGAGAATACAAATAGTATTTATTCGCAAATTTAAAGCATCCTTCGGAATGGGCGTTATTTTGTTTTGTATTAAATTATTTAATTAAATAATATTATAATAAAAATAAAACCACAATGAAAATATATTCAATCATTTATTTCACATCAATTTAGTCTTAAATTTTTTTATATCATGTAAAGAAATATTTCACATCTAACAAACCATTATAACACTTAGAATTTACTTATTAATAAAAAAAATGCTCATTGTTAAAGTCACAGGAATCTTATTTTTTTTTTATTGAAGTAATTTTATATAAAAGATCGGGGTTAAATTTAACAGTTCCGAAATCAATAAAGGAAATATTCGAATATATACGGTGCCGTTCTTAGACGAGACGAATTGATAATTAAACTTTCTTTATCTTTTGGTACATAAAGTCCAACCGCCAAGTCATTCAGGAAAGGATTGGGTTTTCTTAAAATACGTAATTTAATCTAAATTAGAAAAGATCTGTGAACATACCTTAGATTTGAGAAAAAACCTTTCCCAGCCCTAGCTTAGAGATAGAAATACGCCGATTGGAAATTTTATGTACATATTGTCCTTTAGAATATAAAGTCATAACTTATTCATTTATTTATTTTGATATATTTACACTTCTTTCGACCCTTCACAGAACTAGTGGTTTCAAGTGAAGAGTTCTTCCGCTTTCTTTTTTAGACCCATTCCTTTTCTGCTGAATTACCTCTTTTTTTTTCTAGTTCTTTGATACAGGAAATTAATCGACTAGGAAAAAGTTGAAATTATATACTTTTATACTGAACCTTTTTATAGACTTTATATACTTTAATAACCCCACTTGTATATTATTACTATATTTCATATTTTTTTGTTAATCAAATGGCAGCAAGAGATAACGATATTTTTCACGGGAAATAAACTTATTAAAGTAATCTATCTGCTTCTCAAATATTACTTTTCATATTTTATTTCCTTCGTATAAATAGTTAATTGATGAATGAACTATATTAATATAATAAAATAAATAATTCAACTATGTAACGTTACACTAGACGGACAAAAGTCAAGAACTCCGCTCATTCAAAAAACTTTTTTTAAAAAAAGTCTAAACCAATCGTATTAAATATGTATCTCCTATTTAAATTATTGAAATTAAATTTTTGCATTTTATTATTAATTAATTCGATTTTATGCTATGACCCACCTAAAAGATATTTCCATAATAGTTTAATAATCAACAATAGACTCTTAGTATTCAGCGGATATAAAAATATAACTGAATTTACATATGAATTATTCTATTTAGATTTGTCAACGTCATTTGAAAATGACAAATTAACATGGA